TCACCAAGAAATCACACTGAACTCAACTTCAGTCTTCTAAAATTCAGGACTGAATTTATGGAACAATATGTGTTTAAAAGTGGTATAATTTCCTTTTATTATTCCTGGCATTCAAAATTATTCATCAGTAAGAAACCAGGTCCTGAAATGGAGTAACCAGAAGCTAAACAAGATTGGAGATAGTTGTAACCTGAATGTCAACTCGTAAAGCATTCCTATGCCTGTTTGTTGTGGCTAGGACACCACCAGGGAATACCAGAACTGTGGGATGAACTGAAAAGTTGAATAACTTTCCAGAAGGCAATGATAAATCACTTGTTTACCATTGCCAATAAAATTGCAAATATAGACCCATGAAAGCACTAAGAGTTGAGCTTGAATCATAGGAATTAATTATCGAAATTAGGACTGTTATAATTATTTGTCAATTAAAAGAGCACATCAGCAGTAAGGTTTTTATGCTCCATATCAAAATAATTTAAAGTTTACTATATTTAATGAGGTTTATAATAATTATGACTAACACTATTATGAACCCATAAGCTCCATTTGCTGATTAGGGAGTAATTACTGTTTTCTGTGTTCCCTTTTTTTTTATATTTCATTTCCATATTCTATTTTCTACATTCCTTTTTTTTCCAAAGTGGAAATGGTTTAAAATGTATGTAAATGCAAGAACCAATGTTAACATTCCTTAAACTTTGGTCCCTTAAGCAGATCCTCCAAATTAACTCTTGACTAAGACCAAGTGCCATTCTTTTGATTACAATCTCTCTCTGCAGATCAGGCTTCTCCATCCTAATGTTTTCTGACTGCTTTGGATTCCAATCTCCAAAATCCTTAGTCAGTATGTTTTGAGAACTATGGGGTGTCTGGAAGGCATCAGATTGAGGGGAAATGACTGTAGACATGTTCCCCACGGATAAACAGCATCAAAGTATTAGTCCTCTTCCTTTCTCATCATTCCAGGAGTATAGAGGTACTAGAAGGATTTTGAAGTCCTTTTGCTAATAGAGATGGCTACCATCTAGTGGTTGTGGCCATCTTGACTATTCTGCAATACCACATAGCCTTTTCCTAATTAATGCTCTAAAGCTTGAATAAAAAATTATCAATTTAAGAGAACATGCAGTCGTTGCCGTAGCTAATATAAGATGAATTAATGTTTGAAGATGGGTCAAAGAGTAGCTAGCTTTCTTCCAATGGAGACAAGGGAGTCCATCCCAGTTTGAATCTACAAGTTACAGTAAAAGCCATTTTTAATTGTATTTTCCATAAAGCCTTTCGTAATTAGTGAATACCTCCCATTTCAGAAGCCAGGCTAGCAAATCATTCCTATACACAAGAAAAAGCAGAAAACAGAGTGCGATCCACATGTAGATCTCTGCAGGTTTATAACAGAAAATTGAATTTGATGTTTACTAACATCAAATTCAATTTTCCTCATTAAAAATTCCTGAAGCTTACCAGGAATGATTTGTGGGCTGTTGTTTAGGTTTTTTGCCTAAAAAATAATTTGAACTCACTTCCTAAACTGGAAAAAAAATCATAGACAAAGATATTTGAGGAGCCTCGGTGGCGCAGTGGTTATAGTGCAGTATTGCAAGCTACTCCTACTGCAATTTGGCAGATCGAATCCCACCAGGCTCAAGGTTGACTCAGCCTTCCATCCTTCCAAGGTGGGTAAAATGAGGACCCAAATTGTTGGGGGCAATATGCTGACTCTGTAAACCACTTTGAGAGGGCTCTAAAGTACTATAAAGTCTAAGTGCTATTGCTATATTATTGTAAAGGTCCTAAGCACACTTAGAAATAGAGTAATCTTTGGCATCAAAACACAGTACTACGAGTATATTAAAGTGTTTTTTCCCATTTCATCTAGAAAATGATGTTCATTGACACCAGTGGAAATCTTAGAATACTATTGTTTTAAAATCACAGCCATGGTTCCCAAAGATATCACAACTGTATGAATTTTTACAAAGAGATGCTCTATTTATAAAGGCACAAGCATAATCTTCCACTGGCCAAGATGCACAGGGCTTAGGCAACAAGGTGCTTTCCTAAAGGCCTCCTCCTGGAACCAATTCTGAAGAGGCAAAAAAAAAAAAAGGAAAGGAAAACCATTCACTTCCTTAGTAATAGAATTAAATGAATGTGACTAATATGCTGCCCTTACTGGTAGCCACACAATTAAAAAGGGTGAAAGAATCAATATTCCTGCATAAATTATGCTGCTATGCAGTTCTCCAACAGTAAACTCACAAGAAATCTGCAAGGTCTATTAGCGGAATTAGATTTTACTTGTGGTAACTAAAAACGTTGTCTCCCATTGGAATACAACTGTTTTGCTAAATAAGGTCCCCAAAACAATATGTGTTGGAAGATATCTGCCTTATCAGAACCACGGCAGACAGCATTGAAAACCTTGAGGTCAGAGGCAGAGGGACTAAACCTAGTTATGCTAGGTTCAGTTGTTATCATTAGAAAACAAAATAGGGGTACCACCCAAAATATCTGTTTACAAATCATTTCCCATCCATTCAGTGGGACTAATTAGTAGATGAAATATGCAACTGCAGCTGAAAAAGTCTTGCTGGAAAAGATCATTCATCGCCAACAAACCTTTCTCTAACTTCCCAGGAGGATAATTCAAATTACCCTCTGTCAACACAGATTCTCAAGGGAATCAAATTCCCATAGAATTTGCAATCACAATTCCCCAGAGCATTATCACACACATTAAAAACACACTTTCTTATATTTAAAAAAAATCTTTTCAGTCAAAAAGACAGTTTACTATGAAGTTTAATTGCAAAGTTCTCACAACTGCACATCTAAACATCTTTTTTTAAGCCAGACACCTTTTCTCCACTTTTTCCAGTTTCTTGTTTTGTTCTCTTGAAAACATTCTAAAATGAGTAGAACTTTTGACTAAAAACCTTGCGTACTTAGAGCATGCCATTCCTCATTAGTGAATTATGAAACTTCAGTTGACAATTACTTCTCTTTTTTATATTAACAAACAACATAGTTTGTTCTGTTTCTTTCTTTTGGCCTTTGGAAGATGGATCATAATGCAAAAGGCAGCTTCTACTTTAATCTCCTGCTTCAAAGCTGCTTAAATTATTCAAAAGTTTACTGCTATTCATTTCATTAAAAATGCTAAATTTCACAATTCTGATAGCCATTTGTTTGGGGATTGTAAATCCCCAAAGTTCTACTCATTTTAGAATTAATTTTAGAGTGACTTCACTATAACTGATGTAGTCTGGAGGCAACCTGTGAAAAAAATGGCTTCATTAAAAGTAGTATTTTTCAAGTGAATACATTTACAATAAACTATGACAATATTCTAATAAACTGCAGCTTGGTTTCAAAGTTGCACAGTTGCCTTAGACATATCTAGTCCAAATCAGCTTATAAGAGGTAATTCACCATTTTCGACCATTGCTTCCTATGTACTTTGAAGATTCTATGTACACCCCTGCCCATAAAATCAGTTAGAATGGAAGCCCAAGGGACAGAGTTTTGAAATCCTTATTACTCCTAAGTTCAGCTTCTTTACATCAGATTTCAAAATGTGAATGATGTACAAATTTTGCAAAGATTTTCTTAAGAACACTTCTCATCTATCATGTTGCGAGTTATAAATATTGTGAATAAATTACTGAAGTAATCAGATACATACCACACAATTTTAATAATGTTGTTTGGATTGGATTTATATTTTGTAGTTTTATTTTTGTCTAGAAACTACTCTGATTGCTTATGACAAAAAAGGACATAATGATGATAAAATAAATACTCCAAAACTTTACATTAGAGGTCTTAGCATTTGTATTATGCTACCATAAGATATGTTATAAAAACAAGCAATAGAACAAATATTTTTTAATTGTGCTTTTAGTTAATAAGCATGGAAGTAACCAATCACCAGATGTTTTCTACTATGTAACTGAGTCAATAACCAACAAGCCTGAATAGGTATGTGTATGTGTACAAACACACACATAGTGTACCGCACACAGACCTCAAATAAGTGCAACATCTATTTATTAAAATAGCTCCTTTTTTCAGGCTTCTGCTCAAATTTGAGAAGTCCAAAAAAAGTTGGGCTACTAAATGAATAGCAGAAATGAACTGCAGTTATTTCAGGTCTGAAGTACATTAAACCCGTTTCATAAAGTACATTAGAGTGTTAAAAAATAAACTCTTGTAGTTCACTAACATGCTATTAGTCCTTCAGAAGCCAGGAGGAAAAATTGCCCCAAAAGGAACTATGAATGGCCTGAACTTCCTCCTTTGTCCCTGCCATGTGCAACAGTTCCTCTTCCCAGCAACAGTGAGCTCCAGAAATGATGAAATAGCTGTACTTTGAGATCTTTAGATGGACTCCTGATCCGGGTATTTTCTATTAACACTACCACAGAAAACTATTATTAAATAATAGTTTTATATGGTTTGTATTTTCCCCTATGAAACACAGAAACTCTAGAACAGTGGTGGCTAACCTTTTCGGACACCAGAAGAGCAGCTCCTCGATGCGCGTACTGGAAACCGGAAGCTTAGCTTCCTGGTGGTCGCATGCGCACTGGCCACCTGGTCTTCCAGTTTCTAATGTGCGTGCACGGACAAAGACCAGCTAGCCGGCATGTGCATGCGCTCCGGGGAGCTGCTCTTCTGGTTTCTGATGCTCCTGCATGCGTGAAGATCAGTTGGCCGGCATGCATGCACACACCAGAACCCAGAAGAGCTATGGACGACGGCTGGCATGCCTGGAGAGATGGATCTGAGTGCCACTTCCAGCACGCGTGGCATAGGTTCGCCATCATGGCTCTAGAAGATTTCTGGATTGGTGTGATCTCTTTTAAACATCACTCCATTTTAAAAGAAAGTAAGGAACAGTACATGTGTGTAGGAACCCTGTCATATTTAACTTGGCCCAGATCTTGAATTGAGTCCAGAGGAGAAAAAAGCAGATTAACAGTTATAAATACCTTTGAGAACCAGTGGTTCCTTGCCTTCCCTCTTGAGAGACTCCAGCACTATGTGCAATGGCTGTGAAGGCATTACTCTGCTTGGCTCATTAGTGTTTTCATCATAAACAACTATTTCTTTGGAAAAGATTCTTTTAAAGGAGTCCTTGCCTTCTCTGCAAGAGATCAAGTCTAAGACAGTGATTTTGCCCTGCTGAAGCCTTCTCCTACTAATCTTATCAGAGCAATTGATGTGAACAGCCCCTTGGATGTGGCTCTTGTTGTACTCCATGAAAGGCCGGCAATCAATGATGACTGGGCCTTGGTGGCTTTTGTTGCATTTGGTCATCTTTTTTGCCAAGTCATTGGGATGGATGATTTTGATGCTTGCCAGTTGTTTTGTTGCACCTGAGACTGGACTCCCCACACCACCAGATGGACTCAAAGGGCTAGAGTTCTCATTGTTGTTGACCATTTGGTTTGCTGAGCAAGTAGTCAAGGTTCCTATGCTGGCAGAAATGCTGCTGGTGCTGGCTTGGGTTTGGGCCTGATTGTCCTTGTCGTATGTTGCCACAGTGCAGCAACTGGCACTGCTGCATCCACAACTCAAGGAGCGGGCAGAGCCGTTGGATGAGGGCATATACGTCAGATTAGCAGCCTTGATGGACACAACAGCCGTGCTGAGGAGACTCACGGTGTTTTCAGTGGCAGAGGAAGCAGATTCAAGGTAGCTGAAATCTAAGCAAAGATTGAGATCCTGAGGTCTTACAGGCCTGGAGAGTGCCACTACAACCCTGTCGTCTAATGGAGAAGGAGGCATGAGGAGGCTGAGAATGGGAAGTCAAAGGAACTCAAGCTCTCTCTGTTAAAAACAAAAGAAAAGGAGAAAAGTTAAGTTATCTGTGATGGACAAGCTTTCATTCTTAGACTTGTGTGGGAGTCTCCCTTAAGAATGACCATTCCAAAAGCTGTTTGGGATTGGTAAAAGCAAAAAAAAACACCATTAGCAGTTGTAACCAATTAGCAAAGAAAGATTAGAAAACTAAAGATGTGTTACTGCTTATTTAATTTAGAAGCAAGAGTGTAAATGAATCAGAAACTCCTTCAGCCCAACCCCTATGGAACTGCAGAAGTGTAATTCTTTGCAAATTAGGATTTTATTCTAAGTTCATATGGGCACAAGGGTGGCATTTCCTACAGAATATTCCCTTTATCTCACATTTAAACCTTAAGAGTAACATGGGTGCATATGTCTGAGAGTAAATAATAAGTACCAGACACCAATGGAGTTACTGAAAACATTTTTTGCTTGAAAGTAACCCAGCCACAATAGCTTCTTGCTCTCTCAATCAGAAAAAAAATGAAAATTTGAATTTTGGTTTCAAATTTATCATGTTATTAATATTGGATAATCTACACAACCATGTTAAAGAGCAAAAAATAGAGATTTGGCAAATAAATTAACCTAACACATCTTACTTTAATAGGCAACCTGTCACAGTATCTGTGGAGCAGGTAGCAAACAAGGAAGCTATCCCTGGTCTAAAAGGCTATCCCTGGTCTAAAAGGAGAAAGCTTATACAAAAAATCCCAGGCTTTCTTCTACATCTACATAATCCATAAATGAAACAGTCAAAAGTTATTAATACGAAGATAGCATCTCAAGAAAGCAGGAAAAATAAATCTGACCACAAACGAAAATGTTACAACTTTTCTTTAAGAAGACATTTTCAAAATTGCCAAGGAAGACCAGAGGATGCATCAATACATTGTTTGGCAAAGAAAACAATCATTGAAATGTAAGAGGATTTTTTTTTAAAAAAATGGAAGGGGGTGTCATGTATCTCTTATCAGTGGAATTGCTATTTTGGAACTGTTTTTTAGTCAGATGCTACTGCAATCATTTAATGACAGCTGTGGAACATCCAAGCCTCAAGGTACCCAAACTCTTCTGCTTACTGCTGAACACATGATTACATAGCTTGAAATTATTTATCTTAATAGGAAAAAAAATTAAATCTTCCTATTACCTTGGAAGTTCAGCTTTAGAGCACTGCTGAGTGGCCAATTACATTGGCACGTGGCTCAGTCGAATTGAAAGGGGTCAAAAATGTCACTGATTTTTTTTTTTCAGGTTACTGCATCACCTTCTGAGTCTCTGAAACTTGAAAACTTAATCATACTTATGGGTAACCAATTCCCATTCAAGTCATAAGAACTGAAGTGCAGAGTAAGCTTGCCCAAGATCAAACAAAAAAGGAGGGCAATTGTCCTCATCTCCTCCAAAGAACTGTACCTCAAAAACGATTTTTAACCTTATTTAAGGAGGATTTTTTTTTCCCCAAAAAAAGGAAAAAAATTATTCTTCCCTATTCGTCTTCTAAAATCAAAGCATCCTCTCCACCAGCAGCACGACTATTCTTCCGTACGGTCCTCATCCTAAGACAACAGTCAGGATAAGTAATGTTGTTCTCTCTACAGAGGGGAGAGAGTATTTGCAGGATGAATTTAAATCGCTGCTGCTGCTCCAAAAAAGGACAAAATAATCTGTCACCGGGGCGGAAAGAAGCAGCCCAAGAACGCTACGCAGAGGCAAGAAATCTGAAATATACAGAAGCAGCTTTTTAATTCCTCTCCCCCCCCCCCCCCCCCCTCGTTGAAGCACAAATCTCGGTGCGCGAAAATGTGCACCTCAGGCACTTCAAAAAATAAGAAGGCAGCAAAGGCGCGGGGAGGGGAGAGAAGGAACACACAGAAAGACAAACAGTACTTTGTATATATATTTTTAAAAGGCGCATGCTGTGACTTTTATAACCGAGTCAGGTGAGACATGTGAGAAGGTTTTAAAGACCCTAGCGGGAGGCCACACCGGTCCTTTCTCCCGATGCAAAGCTGTTCGTGAAGATCTGCGTCTCTGCAGCAGAGGCAGTTTGTATTTTCCAGCCAAACCACGAAGTCAGTGTTGCGATTGAAGAAAATCGCAGCCAACAACAACAACAACAACTCCTCGGGCTCATCTATATAGTTCCACAGGTCCCAGGAAAGAGAAGACGTCTCCTCCGAGGGTCTATATGTCGGGGATGCTGTGAAGCTGGATGCCTCTTATGCATCCTGATTCCAAACACACATCCCCCCCACCCCACAAGGATACTGCAGCAATCCCAAACGAGAACAGCTCGCTTTCATCCGACTCATTCGGTGAACATCCGCTGGAGAGAGAAACGCACAAACGACGACAGGAGATACGTGGGGGTTAAGGAGAAAGGCAGCACTCTCAATTTTATCGACCCGAAGTCTCCCTCCCTTTAAAGAAGAAAAAGAAGAAAAACTCTTTTCGAAGCTTTCTCAGTTGTCTACATAAACACGCAGGCACGACTCCCCTATCCTAGGAAAGAAAGTCATCTACTTACTTACTTACTTACTTCATTAATGAATGGCTATCCTCCAACACCTGGCGCGCGGCTGCGGCGATCGATTTAATCTACACATCAAGCCCCCATTCACTTAGGCTTCATTGATCTCCGGCTGCAACATACTTACTTTCTCTTTTGCTACCCAGTAAATGTAAGGTTCGAAAAGGGGGGCGAGGCGGTAGAAGAGATCGACGGGGCCTTCACCCAATAGGCGTTCTCTCCTGGGAGGGTTGTTGTCCGCCTCTCTCGGAGATGCCAATGATTGGGAGCGAATGGGTGAGTGGGCGGAGCCGGCGACTGCCCTCTCATCTCTTAAGGGATGGTTTGGTCGCAGTCGCTTCGGGCTTTCTGTGGTATAACCTGCGGAGCGAGTGATGTCATTGAAGGCCAATCAAAAGCTCCAGTGGGCCAGCCTCAGCCGGAGAGGAGCAGTAGCAGCTGCTCCCTATTTACATGTAAACTTTACCAGGAGGATGTGGTTTTTAACCCTTTCCTGCACAGAATTGTCAGTCGCACCCCTAACTACTTTTCGTCAAAGTGGCTTGGCTGCCTGATTCTCCCCACTCCTTCTTTTCTTTTACGGTTCTTCTACTCTTACAGGAGGTTCACCACTATTTTCCCGTGTCCACTACTCTCCCTTTAAGATCTCCCTCCCTCCCACTGTTTCAGTGAATGAATGAATCAATCGGTGAATGAATCTCTCAACCACTCAACTCTTCTTCTCCAACGGGTAACGGCACCGGAGCCTCTCGCTGAATGACTATTAGCTTTTCATTTGGAAAAGCCCTGCAGAAACATCAATCGTTTTGTCCAGATCGTATCTTTATCCACCACTGCTTGAAGGACAAGAGAAATAGGAAGACCACGGTCCCCTCGGAGTCTTTTAATTATTCTTAGCGATTGCCACAGAGGAGGATAAAGTGAGATTTTTAAGGCAGTGCAACAGAAGAAAGGGGGCCAATCAAAGAGCAAACAACTACGCCGTAGTTAGTAAGATCTAAATAAAGAACTGAAAATAACGATGCACCTTGCAGTTTTGAGAAATGGGCAAATAATGCTTCCTGTTCTCAGATTTCACCAGGCCTATGATGACTACTAGAATTAAACTGGTGCTCTTAGCTTTGAAGTGATGGCCATGACTTGTTTAATTTTGAGACAGCAAAGAGATGGTAGATTTCAATACTTCTATTAACTAACCCTGAACTTGGAAACCATTCAAAGTTAGCCTCCTGTAGATGACCACGTTGTGAATGTCATATAAAAAGTATGAGGCTTCAAGCTGTGTTGGGACAACTAGAGTTATTCCCCAAAAGCATGGTCCACAGACTATTGGATCGGGTATCTGAGGAATACTGGTCACTATGAAACATTAATTCTGGATAATGGGTCAAATCACCCTAAGCACTCCCAGCCAGATTTGCATCTATCTTGGAAGGTTATATTTCAAATCTGGTAATATATATTCTCTTATTTTTCTCTCTATTTGTCAAATTTATGATCTCCCATCTCTCAAAAAGCGACCCAGAATGTCATATAGCAAAAATAAATAAATAAATAAATAAACATATCAAAAACAGTCAACTTAATTTTTTTTTAAAAAAGCATAAAACCAACAAGAGATTAGATCAGCAAGGGAGCTACCTCAAGATTTCACCATTTCTCTAAGCCCCCCACCCCCCACTAGATGACATAACCAGGGCTTCAGGGACTTCTGAAAAATAAATAGGGATGGAGAGAACCTCGCTTTTTAAGGAGGGTGCCACAGCAGTGAAGACCCACCTCCTCTGGTCTGTCAGCTATACTTCCTGACTGATGGAACCCTAACATTGTATGAATGTTTGTTGCATAAACCCCTGGGTGACCTTGATTCCCATTTTACTTGCAGATTCATCTCTTCTGTCTGGGGTCTAGTCATTATGTGGGATCATCTCAAGATGGAATATTTAAACAGGCCTCAGAGCACTGGAGCAAAATTTATTCTCTGAAGTTCATTTGGCTACCATCCTGCAGGCATTTTAGAGAATGTTAGAATCTTGTTTTCACAGATTCATAGGCACTAGTGAGGGTGTTACACTGTTTAAACTGTTGTTATGGTTAGATTTTACTTTGGTTATAGATTTTGTTATCAGATTATGGATTTTAGAGTGGGTAGATTTTATGATTGCTACATATTTTATTTTCTTATTATTTTCGTACATTGTGACTATATTTGAGCAATATAAAAGGAGAATTACCGCTTTCAAATATTATGGTTTGTACTTATATTGCTGAATATAAATTTACATATATTTTATATAAAAATAATTAATAAATTAATAAATATAAATACAATATAATAAATTTATAATAAATATAAACAACACAATAAAAACAAATATTATATACTATGTACCATGAGTTCAAACATTCAACAGTATTCCAGCTAGAATAGCAAAATATGTTACATGACAGGAGTGGATTTCATATACTTATTTAAAAAAAGGAAAGAATGCATATAATTAAATATTTAATGATTTCTGTTGCTAAGTGAAACATTTGTTAAGTGAATTTTTGCCCAATTTTATGACCTTTCTGGCAACTGTTGTTAAATGAATCACTGCAGTTGTTAAGTGAGTAACACAGTTGTTAAGAGAATCTGGCTTCCCCTTGACTTTGTCAGAAAGTCACAAAAGGGGATCACATGACCCAGGACACTGCAACTGTCATAAGTATGAGTCAGTTGCTAAGTGTCCAAATTTGACTATGGGGATGCTGCAATGGTCATAAGTGTGAAAAATGGTCTTAAGTCGCTTTTTTAGATGCTGTTGTCACTTTGAATGGTCAGTAAATGAACTGTTGTGGTTCAAGGCTATTTTAGCATCATTATTCCTATTCTGACTATATGTTTGTGAAAAGTCCAAAAGTAGATCTTGATACAATACTCTTGCCTATTGTTTCTCCCTAGCAATTTTTAATCATTTACCCAAAGTGTCTAACCTGATATTTGCATATAGGTCAGGGATGAATAACTTTTCCAGGCTGAGGACTTCAGAGGAATATACACAGGAACTATATTTCAAATAATACAGTTGAGAAAGAGCAAGAAATAGGTGGAGCAAAATAGGCAAAACTAACTGTGACTTCATTACATTTACATTTAATACAGATTACTTTATAATACATAGTTAATAGCCTCATGTTCTACTTCAATAACATTTTTATCTCCATATTCATTATATTACATTCAATCTTAGAAGACACTTCAACAACAGAATAATCAGAGAAGCCATAGAGATAGAAAAACGTCCACACAGCATGAATAAACGAGATGACATCTCCCGCTTACCAGCCATTTGGAAACCCGCCCTCATTAACAAACGAGTACCTAACATGAAGAATGACACCAGACCCACACTCACAAGGGCCACACAAGATGCTACCACCACACTTCCACGTAGAAAGCAGACTCACTCCCACACAGATGATGAGACATGACCACGGACGAGAAGCCGTACTGCAGCTGCATCACTACCCGCTTCAAACCCCTCCGACCCATACATGAAGTGAACGGACACCCACCATGAAGATGTGGCACGACCACGAACGCGAAGCCAAACAACAGGATCACAGCTCACCAGCTCAAATCCCTGGCAACTAAGACTAACCTGAGCACAACTAAGCCCCCACCAGAACAGAACATACCCCCAGCCAATCAGAACACAGCCTACCCCCCAACCAATCAGAATACAGCCAAACCCCCAACCAATGAGAACACACCCCCACCCAATCAGAACACAGCCAAGCCCCCACCCAATCAAGTCACCCCCCACTAACAGTTAAAAGGAAGAAGCAGCTGCAAGCTCACATTACTCTGAGAAGCACAAAGCTGAAGACACAAGCCTGAAGATGATGAATGAGACTTCATCGAAACATTGCCTAGATACTTCCAATTTTACGCAGGAGAAAACCCGAATAACCAAAGATCCACATACAAATACCCGCGAAAACCTCAGAAAACATATATATATATATATAAAGAATTTGGTGGCCAGTTTTATAAGTCTATGTATTCCATAGCTAAGACTGTCAGTAGTTAAAGTGAGGTTGATGCTTGTGATACTGACCTTGGAGAAAATCACTGACAATTTTATTCCATGTATTTGACTAATTTGCCTTTTAAATGCAGTCTTTAAGCTAAGACCATAATTGATGTCTGCCAACCATGAATTAATTCTGTGCTGTTCAGAGGAATCTTTTATTTGGTTGATCTTTAATCTTCTCCCAATTTAATTGGATGACCCTGAACACAAGTCCAATGAAAGGAGACATTTTTATCACCAGTCTATTTTCTCTACAGCATGAATCCTTTCATAAATCTCTATGCTTTCCGTCTTTAACTGTCTATATTTTTTCCTAATCAAAAATTCCTCAGCGCATTAGCCTTTCTTTGCAGCAAATATGCTTTGATGACTCTCTGACCATTTGATTGCAATAATTCAGTACTTGAAATGATGAACTGCAAAGTGGTGCAATGTGAAGAGAAAAAGAGAGAGATGTACTCTGCAGAGGGTTCTTCACCTTCCTTGCTTTTATTAGTTTTTAGTAAATAACTCAACATGACGAACATGCCCAATATTCCTTCGTCCTCTCATTTTTCCCACAACAACCCTGTGAGTGAGTACAGCTGAAAGACAAGGACTTGCCCAAGGTCATCCAGCCAGCTTTCTGCATAAGGCAAGACTAAAAGTCATATTCTTTTGGTTTTTAGCCTAGTGACTTAACCACCAGAACAAACTGTCTCTGTTTTTTTTTTCATTTGGTCATAAAAATGATGCCTATTTGTAACAGCGTCAGTTCGTTGGTTGGTTTATGGTTTTCTACTGCTTCCAGATGAACCTGAGGCTTCTCATTGTAGACATTGTTAATCTATGGTAGCTATGGATTTAGTTCAGCCAATTGTAGGCCAGGACAAGACCCATAAGTCCCTGCTAGAGGCAGAAAAACATCTTAATATGTCTGATTCAGTCTGATTCATGCAATATATTCACCATGCCAGGCACCAATCTGTCATTTTTCTTGATGATGCTGGGGAACACTCAATAACAATCCTGCCTAGCACATTTCATGAATAGTTCCAGCAAAACGAATACATAAATTTTACAAATAA